CTGGCTCGGTCGGTTGAGATGTAAAGGGAAAAGATTATAGGATCTAGCTGCAGGAAGCCCGGGTTCTATCCGCATTAACTGGGTGTGGTGGTGCACACCTGTAACCCCAGCCCTGGGGAGATGGAGACGGAGGATCAGAAGTTCAAGATCATTCTTAGGGCTCCAACCCTAACATAAGACAAAAAAGAAACCAGAGGGTGACAATGACAGACTACAGAATGGGATGGTGGAGATGAGGCTTAGTGGGCTTAGAAACAGGTGGAAACCAAAACACCAGACTGAAATTCTGGGACCAGGAAAGGAGAGCGTTGGTATGCACTCAGGAAAGGAGAGCACTGGTATGCCACTTCCATTGGCCAGAAAAGCATGGTGACTGCAGACTTAGAGATTGAAGAACATGGCTGGGTGTGGTGGCAGCGGACATGCTACTTTTAACTTGGGAGGCAGAGGCAGACAGGTGTCTGTAAGCTTGAGGCTAGTTTGTTCTACATAGTGGGCTCTAGGCTAGCCCACAATGAGACCATCTCAAAAACAAAAACAAAACAATAATAATAAAAGGGGAGAGCAGGGGGGGGGGGCTGGAGAGATGGCTCAGTGGTTAAGAGCACTGGCTGCTGTTCCAGAGGTCCTGAGTTCAATTCCCAGCACCCACATGGTGGCTCACAACCATCTGTAATAAGATCTGGCACCCTTTTCTGCCTGCAGGCATAGCACACATGCAGACAGAACACTGTATACATAGTAAATATTTTAAAAACACAAAAGGGGGAGCGGGGAAGGAAGGAAGGGAAAGAACTGTAGAAAATGTACCTGGAGACTAGCACGGGTGGCTTCTACACCAGCAGCGGCTGGGAAATAAAGACAAATACATCCACAAACCGTGGCCTTTAAATTGGCCCAAGGACTTTACGGAGTAATTTGGCAACAATTAGTAAAATTTTGAGACACCCATTCCATGACCCAGAAATTCCCTTCTAGGTGTCTGCCCTTGGGACGTAGTCACACGTGCCAGGAAGGCATATATAGAATTGCCAGTTGCAGCATTTGTTTTATTATGAAAAACTGGAAGCAGCCCAGATGCCCACTAGAGGACGGCCAGAGCTCTGTGGAGATGCTATGGGCACCTCCAATTTTCAGGTTTGCACATGAAAGTGGATAATGTAATATTATTTAGACAGGTGCCCAAACCACACAAATCAAAATTATGTAATTTTTGCGAATATATGTGTACAACATTCTTTCGTTTTTCCGAGACAGGGTTTCTCTGTGTAACAGCCCTGGCAGTCCTGGAACTTGCTCTGTAGACCAGGCTGGCCTCACATTCACAGAGATCTGCCTGCCTCTGCCTCCCACGTGCTGGGATTAAAGGTGTGTGTCACCATGCCTGGCTAAAGTACAACTTTCAAACCAAGGATGGTCAGGGTTGGGTTTTTCCAGATCCCAGGCTTCTAATTCAGATAAGGGCTGACTCAGATCTACAAAGCAGCAAGGAAACTTCATTTAAAACCAAAGCAAACAGGATGGACCAGAAAGAAATTCATGGGGTCAGTGGTCCACAGGGTGAGAGACTCTTCAGGGACCCCAACTATGACTTGAGGCGTCCCTTTATGGGGTTCAGCAATGGAGTTTTCACTAAAGTGCAGAATCACAGTAGCTCTGTGTTTTGATTAATAGGTTAGATCATACACGCATTTTTCATGTATCCCTTTCCATAATGCATCTGGCTTTAATTATAGATGCACCCAATTATACATAGGTGTAAGATGACAAATACGGCATTATCCCTAAAAGTTTACTCAAGGACACAGCTTTCCCCTCCTGTGGGCACACTCCCCACACCCAGTGTAGGTAGGACTGCCTTCTGTTCTTTCTACTCAGATGCCTTGGGAATATATCTGTCTTTTATTATTGTTGTTGTTGTAAGACCAGCCTTTAACAGCTGAGACATCTCTCCAGCCCCATTGAGAATCCATTTGAATAAAAAACTTGATAGTGGTTAGGGATGGAGAAACTTGAACTATTGGTTAAAGAGTGGTGTGTGTGTGCCCTGATGGGGTCCATGGCAGCTGGGGGCATTGCTAGGAGAGGGCTGTGCATGCATAGCACATGCAGGTGAAGATCTAGGTTGCTAAGCACTTTACAGGAGGGAGGGAGTGTGCATAACTAAACCCAGACAGGATCCCATGATGCTACACCAGTCCCTTTGCTTACCTACCCCAGAATCAAATCTGGCAAGATATTAATTGTCCTGGAGAGACCGCTTAGGGAATAAGAACGCTGGCTGTTCTTCCAAAAGACCCCGGTTCAATTCCCAGAACTGACATGGCAGCTCACAACCATCTAGAACGCCACTTCCAGCAGTCCAGCGCCCTCTTCAGGCCTCCTTGGTCACTTCACACATGTGGTGCACAGATATAAATGCAGACAAAATGTTCACACACCTTCAAATAAGTAAAATTTAAAGATATAGTTTAAAAAATAAAATTACTTCTGGGAGAAATTAAGCCAACCACACCCCACGGCAGACCCTGCTCCCAATGATAGGAGGACAATAAAAAATAGATTTGATTTAAAAAATAAAAGAAGATAACTCACAGCTGGGGGGATAGGCAGTGAGGTGAGGGAGGAGAGAGTGGACATGGGAGGAGTAGCAGATGGTGAATAGAATCAAAATACACTGTACGAAATTTTCAAAGAATTAACCAAAATATAAAGTTTGTAAAATTTAAAAGTGGCTAGGGATGTAGCTGGCAGTGGGGCACTTGCCCACCCTGCCCAAGCTCCAAGCTTCAGTCCCCAGAATCCCATGATAAGGAAAGTGATATGAGCAGTCCGCTGTGCACACGCTTGTTACACTAATCTTTGAACTTTACTTTTCTGCACGTTGCAAATGCTCGTTCTAAAAATGTCTAATGGTTGCGCTGAGCATTTGGAAACAAGGGTAACGGGGGATAAATAGCACCATCAGTCCTCAGAGCGGATGATCTCCTGGGATGGGTTTGGTGGTGAGGTTGAGTCCTAAACCCTGGGATTATGAGGTTTAATCCAGATAATCCCTCTAAGATAATCACCTGGCTACCTGGCCTTTCAGAAACACACCCCAGAACGACAGCCCCCCTCCCCAGACCTGCTAAGGTCTCTCCTTCTGACCCCTAACTTCACCTCATCTCAACTCCATACTGGTCCCAATAGTGTTTGCCTCCTACTAACAGACTGGTTCAGGTCCCCCTGAGTGTTGCCCCAGATCAACAGTGAGCGATGACCTGCACCCCAGGAACCAGGGAGAGATTAGTCCTAATGCTCAGGACTTAGGCTTCCCTGAGGAGATCTTGGACTCCTGGATGGCACGACCGACAACTTCCTTCTTTCCACTCGCCCACTGCCAACCACTACTATGACCTGCTGCTGAGACAGAACCAGGAGGTGCACAGGGCAGAGGCACCATGCTTCCAGAATGCGTCTCCTTTACGTCCCCCATGGCAGCCACTCTCCATCATCTCTAGCAATGACCTTGCCGCCCAAGTCTGGGGGGACGACCTGCAGGACAGTAGGCTTGCCCAGGGGTTCTTCTCCATGGCGGGATTACTACGGCAGTGGGGCTGGCGTGGGAACCTGTCCCCCTGGGGAGACGGTGAAAATGAAACATCCTTCATTCCTCCATCACCAGACTGGGGTGGTTGGGACTCACTACTGATTTTTGGGCATTATTGTTAATAGGGAACATAAGTGTAAATTCTGTAGTGAGTGATGAGGGCATTATTAATGTAGTTGGAAGAGTCATGTTTACTCCTTTGTTCCTGGGGCCAGGTTCTTTGCTGGAAGCTGTAGATATGAAAATGACTAAGGATGCTTCCCAACCTTGACAGCAGGAAATACTGCGATGCTACCGGGAGGGGAGAGCAGAGCAGAGGTGTCTAGCAAGGAAGGACTGGGGTGTCTGGAGACTCTCAGCCTGGGACTGAAATTACTGATAAGTAGGGGATGTGCAGACAGAGAAGCACTTCGTTCCTGTGGAACACGGAGGGCCTGGCGGCCTGGGGAGTTCAACACAGCCAGCCCACGTCCAAACTCTAGGAATAAGACTACAAGAGATAGGACGGTTGCAGTGTAACCAGCTTAGAAATCACCCCACAAGTAGGACTCGGGTAGCCCGTTTCTGTGTACCCACTTCTGACCTGAACGAGACCATCTGACATGTCAGATCTGCCTCAAGATCAAAATCACTTCTTGAATGAATAGTTGAAAAAGTGAAATAAGCCCCGTGGTTTCCCACACCTTCTGACAGAGGAAATATCAGCGGGGCGCACACGGAACAGGCCATAGGGGGCGTGACTAAAGGACAGGCGACATGACAGGTCTTGGTGCACTGAGGCAACACGGGTGGACTACGGAGGGCTCCTTCTAAGTCGGTCCTTGGCTCTGGCTTGGAAAATCGGGAAAAACAGCGATCATCGCCTTGCAGTTGGCACATTCAGGTCTCAACTTCCCTACCCTCCAGTCCTGCAGCAGCTCTGGGGCACGTGAGGCCACCGGGAGGGGATGGGCTCAGTGAACTGCGGCTATGGGGACGCTGGCCCTACGTGGGGACCAAGGAAGTGCGCACGTGTCTGCGCATTTGCAGGAAACAGCCCATTCTTGTTTATTCGGCCTCAATCACCAGGCAAGACCAGGCCCTGAAACCTAGCGCTGAGCAGTCCCTACAGCGGCTGACCCAAGGTGGGTTCTGTCGCCAGAACCAACCCATCTTGTCACTCCTTGGGAGCATCCTTAAGTCCAGGTAGCTCACGTTCGCTGTGCAGGCGCAGCAGACCGGGAGCTGCCTCGAGTGAGCCTTGGGCACTTTGTTGACAGGCGCTGAGCCTCTTGTGCTGGTCCCTACTCGGTCCGGAGCTGGGGACGGACAGGGAGGGTTTCCGGGCGACAGCAGGCGGGCACCCGCGTCAGGTGGCCAGGCCAGGCCCCGCCCCCTCGGCCCGCCCTCTCTCCTCCCTGCGCACCGGGCTCCCGGTCCCCGGCCCCGCGGCTGCGGCTTCTGCTCGGGAGGCGGCGGCGGCGGGAGCGGCCATGGAGGCAGGCGGCGGGGCCAGCGCGGGAGCCGCGGGCTGGAGCTGCCCCAGCCCAGGTCAGAGCCTCCCCTCCCTCAGCTCCCCACGCTTCTTCCCCCTCGGATCTCCTTCCTCCTGACCCCCAGGTGCTCCGGGTACTGCTGAGTCGGCCCCCTCCACCCTGGCCTCCATCGGAGACCTCTCTCCATCTTTGGACCTGGGGCGTCCCCTCCCTAGCGGTCACTCCCCAAGCGCTCACCACCTCATCTCTCCAGCCCGACAGTGCCTCCAGCTCGTGAGGGGCGGCGGGAGCGGGGAGGGGGGCTTTAGCGCCTGCACCCTTACAATTCATAAAAGCTCTTGAGGGTGGGATGGGCGAGGTCTAGTGAGGGAGGGAAGGGGAGAGAAGAGGCCTGGGTTGGATCCCCTTTCCTCCTGGTCCGGCCGCCCCTCCCTCCTCTGCCTTGCGCCACCGCATCCTCCCAAAGCCTTCTTTCTTAGTTCCCATCCTACCCCTCTTCTCCTTGTGCCCCAAGCTAAACACTCACCCCCATTCTGTCTGGGCGAGGGAGAGGAGCCGGCAACATCCTGGAGAAGAGGTGCTGAGATTGGGCAGCGCCGGGCTGGGGTCCTCTTAGGCGGAGCGTGAGAGGTGGCGGAGGGAGTAGATTCGCGGAGCCGGGCAGAGTGAGTCAGGTTTCTCCAGTGGGATTACAAATTCCGGGGTTCTCGGACAAGAACACACGTCCCTTTCTTTCCCCTTAGCCCCCAGCCTCTCTCGAATCCTACAGTGCCTACTTTCTCCTTGCTCACAGGACCCACAGTAACCACTTTAGGCGCTTATGAGGTATCTGAGGGTTGTGAGAGGAAGAAAGGCCAACGCTGGGGGTCCCTGGAACGCCGTGGGATGCAAGCTATGGAAGGTGAGTTTCCTGGGAGGGGGTAAGAAAAGGCTTTCCATCACCCTATGCCCCAGTCCCATTCCATCCTCCTTCGGTCCCTGACCCCGGAGCTCTGAGCCAGGACATGGCCCTTCCCTCACTTCATCTCAGGCCCCTCCTCCCTAGTGGCAGAGCTCCAGGCCTCCCCTGGGCTCAGGCATTGATGGAAGTTTGAGCACATCCCTTTGGGCTCCAATCACCAAGCTAACCAGGTTGTGTGTCCTGGGGGAGCTGCCAGACAGAAAGAGGTCCTGCTGAACAGAGCCTGGAAGCAGCTTTTCAGCAGGGGGCTTGTTCTCGCTGCCTGCTGACCTGGATCCCGAGCTGTCTCTCCTTTTTAAAAGCCAGGACATGGACGTGTGAACTGTCTGGTACCACCACTGTCAACTTTGAAAGGAGCCTTGCAGCTTTAGTAAGAGGGTGCTTAGGAGAGAGCTAGGTGAAGCCAACTTCCAACACCACACCCATGGGATAGGGCAGGTAGGACCAACACATTGCCCAGGATTTCCTGGGAAGTGTCCCCAGGCCCTTCTACAGTTCAATACAGGCCTCGCCTAGAAGCTTGATGGCACAAGGGGCCGCAGATGAACCGCATGCTGTTGGAATTAGAAAAGGGAAACCAGAGATTCCGATTTAGAAACAAGGCCGTCTCCACCAAGACAAGATTGGTATTTATAAGAACTGCATTGCAGTAAAAGGAGTGCTCACCAACCTGAAAGTGGCACCAGTACCAGTTCAGGTTTTTGTTTTGTTTTGTTTGTTTTTGAGGCAGGATTTCTATGTGTAGTAACCCTAGCTATCCTGGGACTGGCTTAGTAGACCAGGCTGGTCTTGAACTCACAGAGATCTGCCTGCCTCTGCCTCCCAAGTGCTGGGTCCAATTCAGTGACTGTTTTTTTTTTTCTTTTGCCTGCTTGTTTTTAAAAATAATTTATTTTTACTTTATGTGCATTGGTGTTTTTCCTGCACATATCTCTGTGTGAGGGTGTTGGGTGCCCTGGAACTGGAGTTACAGATGGTTGTAAGCTGCCATGTGAGTGCCGGGAATTGAACCCAGGTCCTCTGGAAGAGCAGTCAGTGCTCTTAACCACTGAACCATCTCTCCAGCCCCTCCAACTCAGTTTTTAAAATATGTTAACAGTACTGGAGAGATGGCTTAGCAGTTATCCAGTGTTTGATTCCCAGCACCCACACGGCAGCTCATAACCATCCTATAAGTCAGCTCCAGGGGATCCAATACTCTCTTCTTTCCCCCAAGGGTACCGCATGCACATGATGGATAGACATACAATCAGGAAAACACACAGATGCATTAGATAGATGGATAGATAGATAGATAGATAGATAGATAGATAGATAGATAAAATAGATGTGTAACATGGCAGGTTTTCTTTTATACATGAATTCAGTTTCAGACCTTGAAAGCCAACTTGGGTCAACAAGAAAGAGGTGGACCTTATGGTACCCACTAGGAAAAAAAATAAATGTAGAAAATTTCAAAAAGGTATTTGATAATATGCATTTGGAAGGATCCCCACATTTACCCAGAAAACAACTCAGAGTCTTTTCCTTCCAGTGTCTTCCTTCTTTACCTACAGGTTAAGCCAGTGCTCTCCTATTATGGAAAGGCTAATATTCTGCAAACCACCTCGATATGGGTTGTTTTTCTTTGTGTCCCAGCCTTGCCCCATTTGACCTACTAAGCAGCTGGTGTCTGAATGTCTGGATCCTTTCTTCACTCCTGTCCCCACTACCCAGTGATCAGAGTAGAAAGAAGTGCCAGGTGTCCTCATGCAGGCTCATTGTCGATGAGCCAGCATGAGGGTGCCGTAAGGGCGGTAGACATTCAATATTAGGAGCTTGGAAGCGGGAGAGGCTACTTCCAAATTGGACCCACCAGAGCCTCACCATGAGTTAAGTCCTACTGGGGGAACCTTGGAGGACACCAGGTGGCACTATTCTACTGTTCAGGTCCTGGGGTGGTGACATGATGCAGGATTCTAGGACTATTGAGGGGAATGGGCACTGACTCTCCGGTGAGACCTTTGTCTCTCCTAGGGGAGGTGTTACTTCCAGCTCTGTATGAGGAGGAAGAGGAGGAAGAGGAGGAGGAAGAAGAGGAAGAGCTCGAAGAAGATCAAGTGAAGAAAGGAGGGAGTTTGGGGTCCCTGTCCATGAGCAAGCACCGGGGCCTGAGCCTCACAGAGACAGAGCTGGAGGAGCTAAGGGCTCAGGTGCTCCAGCTGGTGGCAGAGCTAGAGGAGACCCGTGAGCTTGCTGGGCAGCATGAGGATGATTCCCTGGAGCTTCAGGGTGAGCACCTGTGACGGGCAGGAGGGCTGGGCCCAAAGGCTCTGTGTGTCCCCAGTTCCAAACCAGATGTCCCTCTCACTTCAGGGCTCCTGGAGGATGAGCGGCTCGCCAGTGCTCAGCAGGCAGAAGTATTCACCAAGCAGATCCAGCAGCTTCAAGGTAATGCCCCCCAAGGCTCGACAGCTACTGGCCACCCTGATCACAAGGTCACTGCCCCCCCCAAGGCTAGAAAGCCACTGGCCACCCTGATCACAAGGTCACTGTCCCCCAAGGCTAGAAAGCCACTGGCCACCCTGATCACAAGGTCACTGCCCCCCAAGGCTAGACAGACACTGGCCACCCTGATCACAAGGTCACTGCCCCCCAAGGCTAGACAGACACCGACCACCCTAACCACACAAACCTCACTGGTACCTTTACCTCTCTCTTCTCTATTCTTTCTTTTCTCACCACTTTCTCTTCTCCTTGCCCCCTTGTTCTCTTCTTGCCTTAATTTCCTATCTTTGCATTTCTACATGGTGGTCCTGACCTCCTCTCTTTTCTCTTTTCTCTGCCTCCCTTTTCTCTTCCCAGCCTCCTCTTCCACCTCCCACATCCCTGTTCACCCATCCAGGGCTGAGGTGGATGACCAAGATTGAGTTCTAGGTTATATTTCTTTTTCTGGTTCCTCCAAGGGAGTCATGGGGAGAGCAGAGAGCCAATGGTGTATGATTGGGGGACACACCATGTGTCTTTGAAGGAAACAGATAAGAACCTGAGTTTGCGGCCCCCCAAATCCTATCTTCCAAAGCCTGTGTCCCTTTGTCTCAGAAAGCAGGAAGGCGGGCGTCCCACATTTTGCTGCACTACCAAATAAAGAGGGAGCTTTTGTTACTTCTCTGGGCTTCCGGAGGGTTTTGAGGATCTGCCCTAGAAAACAGCAGGGACTCTGTAGAGAGAGCTGAGATCAAGCCAAAGAAAAAGTATAACCATAAGCAGAGGAGAAAGGTCTGGAAGCTGTCCTGGTGAGAGCAAGCGAGTGTGTAACCCGAGGAGCAGAAGAGAAGGGCACAAGATGGAAACCAAGGGAGAGGCAGGGAGCGAGGGAGCGTGGGTGTGGTTAAACATCGTCCGAGCTCCTGGGCTTAGCTTTATCATGTACAAATTTCGTTACCTTGGGCAGGTCACTTTGATCCCTCCGAGTCTTGTTTTCTTTTTCTTTTTTTTGGGGGTTTTTTTTTTTTTTGTTTTTTTTTTTTTGTTTTTTTTTGGTTTTTCAAGACAGGGTTTCTCTGTAGCTTTGGAGCCTGTCCTGGAACTAGCTCTCGTAGACCAGGCTGGCCTGACGTCGAACTCACAGAGATCCTCCTGCCTCTGCCTCCCAAGTGCTGGGATTAAAGGCGTGCGCCACCACCGCCCAGCCTCGATTTCTTGTCTATAAAATGGGGCACACTCCTTTGTCCGTCAACTATTTGTGGAGCTCCATTATATTTAAAGAAACCAATAAAGAACACAATTGATCAAATGCCTGAGGAGTAGATTCCACAGCTGGGCAGGAGGGCACAGAACTGTAATCCCAGTATGTGGGAAGTAAAGGCAGGAGAATCAGGAATCTGATGCCAGCCTTGGCTTCATAGTGAGTTCAAGGCTATGTGGGCTTCATGAGATCCTGTCTCATTAAATAAATAAATAAATTGTAAGGAAAACGTAAAATGAGTTCAGTTGACAATAAAGGCAATACATGTATGAATGCAATATAATAGGTGATATGGGGATGATGTGGGTTAGTTTTACATAGATGACTTCAAGAAGATGGCACTTGAGTAATAGGAAGGGTCCCGTCGTTCGCAATCTGATGGGAGGACCTGATGGGCAGAAGGAACTGGGACGCGAAGGTCCAGAGATGAGAATGAGCTTCATGTGTTGGGGGATAGAACCGAGGTCACTGTGAAGAGCATCTGAAGGACCCTGGCAAGAGGAAGGCAGAAGTCTGGCTACAAAGGCCTTTTAGGTCAGCTGACAGGGCTAGCTTTCTGTGTGAGTGAAGTAGACACCACGGGAGGTATTTTCCAAGGCTTTAGTTTACTTTTGTCTTTTTCCTCCAGTGTTGGGGTGGAATCCAAGGCCTTTGTCAAGTGTTCTACCACTGAGCAACAGCCCTAACCCTCTGAAAGAGTCCTGTGGAATCCTGGAGGAGAGGGAGTATGCTTGTTTCCTTGAATTAAGGCTGTCGAAATGGAGAGGGTTCAGAACATGTTTGAAGGTGGAGCCTTCATGACTAGCCAGAGAAAATGAGTACATGGTGATACTTAACTGACTTGGAAAAGCTTGGCAAGAAATGAGTTTGGGGACTAGGGAAACCATTTAAGAGTTTTATTTGCAGGATGAATTCGATGCCCAAATGAGTACGCGAAGAAAGCATTTGAATGTGTGGATCCAGAACTGGGGGAGAAACAAGGCCTGGAAATGAGATTTGATCGTTTTTAACATGTAGACAGCATTATAATCTATGGGAGCGGGGCGTTCTGTTCCACCATGAGATACCAGTGGGAGAGAAAGGGTAGGTTCTCCTAACTAGAGGCCCAAGGTAGGAGGAGGAATGAACAAAAGAAATGGTGATAGAAGGAACACCTCAGTTCATCCTGTCCTGAAAGCCAAGAGCAGAAAATGCTTCAAGGAAGAGACGCTCCACTGTGTGGAAAGCTGCGAAGGCAAGTAAGGTGGCCGCTGGCGTTGGCAAGATGGAGAATCGGGAGACAGCGCAGATTGGATTGGAACTGGAGAGAAAACAGGAGGTCAAATGGAGAACCGAGTACAGAGCATGACCATTTTAACGAGAAATGAGGGACGGTGAAGCGAGCTCAAGGGAGAAGGTTTTGTTTTAAGGTCAGGAACCCTTGGTCTTGTTTATACGATGAAAGAAAAGGCCAGTTGAGCCAAATATTAGGCTTTGCTTAGAAAAGAACCTTCCTTTCCTTCCAGTATGGAGAAGTCTGAAAATCTTAAAGACCACGAGGGGAAAGGAGTTGTAGCTAGATTTATTTCAGCGATTCCCAGGTGAGGGGCTGCGGGTCTCAAACCCACCCAAGTCCCACCCCGCGGGAGGAATCTGAGACGGGTCCCTGCGCACGCGCGTTGCCCGTTTCCGCCAAGTGGGAGCGCTCGCGGCCTCAGAGGTGCCTGGTGTTCAGAGGCCGTTCCGGCCGCCACTGCCCTCCGGGGCGGCACTGGCCGGGAGGCGGGAGGCCCCCCTGGGAGACCGCTTGTGGGGGGCCGGCGAGATGCAGTCCATAACCAGTAAGTGCGAGTCGCCTTCCCTGCCCCGCTAGCCGACTCCCGAATCCTCCTCCGCGCCCGCCCCGACGGCCCCAGCCCGCAGTCAACCGGCGCCAACTCTTTGGAACCTGGTCCCTGCCTTTCCAGCTCCTACTAGGCTGTCCCATCTAGCTTCCAGGATAGGCCTGGCTCCTCGCCACCCATCCCTACCCCAACTCCCATGATCTGAGAAGGCAGTTTACAGAGTGAGGTTTGAGGGCTTGCTAGGGAGACGGAGGTTAGTCGCGCCCCCGCCCCCGAATGCCCAGCCCAGGTCCTGGGTCCTCATCATAGTGTCCACCTGACCCCCAACCCCCGTGTCTCCCCCCGCCACCTAGACTGAGCTGAGCGTCTGGATCTCACCCCGTAACTCCTTGTGCTGTGGAGTATCTTTGTGTCGTGGGGTGCTCTGGCTATGAACTTTATGAAAACAGGGGACATGCTGTATTACTTCCTTTCAAATAGGAAGTCAGAGCCTGGGGATGTGGTTCAGTGCCTAGCATACAGGAGGTGCTGGGTTCAATCCCTAGTAAAGGAATGTAGAACAAAACAAAATCCAGGAAGTTACGCAGCCTAGTGCATATGCTTGATGGAGGGGATCCTGGAGATCTCTTCTCCCGGACCGGATGTGCCTACCTAACGTTGGTATCTGCCATCTATCCAAATAGGTCCTTTTTCCCTTCTCCGCTCTCCATACAGCTTGACACAGGCCTAGTGAGTTCGAGACCAGCCTGTGCCACAGAATTAGAAAAACACATGAAAAAAAAAAAAAAAAAAAAAAAAAAAGAGGCTGGGCGGTGGTGGCGGGTGGCGCATGCCTTTAATCCCAGCACTCAGGAGGCAAAGGTGGGCAGATCTCTGTAAGTGAGTTCGAGGCCAGCTTAGTCTAGAGCGAGTTCGAGGCTCAAGCAATTCTCTTGCCACAGACTCTAGATTGCTGGGGCTACAGGCATGTACAACTATGCCCTTAAATTTGTCTTATAAAACTCCTAGGTTCTCTTAAACGTGTAATTCTGTATACAGAGACAAAATTTAGTAAAAATCGAATGAATGAGCCCCTCCCTCGTGCATGAATACAGTAAATATTTATTGAGCTGCATTCTGCTAAGCACATTACCAGATATGGGAGCTGTAACGGTAAACCAAACAGGCATGTTCCCCGTTTTCATTGTTTGTACCCAAGTGAGGATAGAACCAAACACAAGCAAACATGCTGTAGAGTTCAAGGAGTCGTAAGAGCTCTGAGGATGTCTTTTGGAGGCAGTGGAGGAGAGGCTAGGAAAAGATGAAATCTGCATGTTTGGTTGAGTGAGCAGGGGATGGGACAAGGAGGCCATATGAAGCCTCATTCTCTTTAAGCCCTTAATCCTGACCCTGCTTTTGAATTCTTACTGGAATCCGTGCCTTTAACTCTCTAACCTTTGAGAGTCTCACTCATTCCAAATGGGTACCTGCATCTAGAACTCTGAGATGCAAAACTAAATAGGGCGGCTCATGTCTGTAATCCTATCACTTGGGAGGCTGAGGCCTAGTGAGTTTGAGACTAGCCTGTGCCACAGAATGAGAGAGTGTCTTAAAAAAACAAAAGAGGCTGGATGGTGGTGGTGCCTTTAATCCCAGCCCTCCAGAGGCAGAGGCAGGTGGATCTCTGTGAGTGAGTTCCAGGATAACGTGGTCTAGAGCAAGTTCCAGGACAGGCTCCAAAGCTGCACAGAGAAACCCTGTCTCAAGAAGAAAGAAAAAGAAAAAGAAAGAAAGGAAGAAAGGAAGAAAGAAAAAAAAGAAAAGGAAGGAAGAAAAAAGAAACCTCAGATGTTCCACAGAGTTCTGACACATTTGTTTTGCAAGTTAACATACATGTATAATCCCATATGTAAAATGTAGAAACTTGTGAAAAATGAAGCAGTATAATGCACAGGTATGATATGGAGATTAAAATACCCACCACATTATTCTATTTCTCTGAAGCAACTGTTATTTTTTAAATGTATTTAAATGTGTGGCATACTCATGTTCGTGTGTATGCACGTGTTTGTGAATGTACATGTATGCATATGAGTTCAGAGCCTAGCAGTCAATGTCAACTGTCTTCCTTAGTCATTGTCCACCTTATTTTTTGAGACAGGGGTCTCTCACTGAGCCAAGAGCTGGCTGACTCAGCCCCAGTGATCTGCCTCCACCTTCCACTCCCACTTCCCAGTCCCAAGGGCTAGGGTAACTGACTCCTGCCGCCATGACTGGGTTTTTAACTCAGGCTCTTTTGTTTGCTTGGTGAGCATTTTACTGACTAAGCCATTTTCCCAGCTTTGAAGCAACTGCTCTTTATGGGCATAGATCTTTCTGTGGGGCATAGACCGTTTCTCTGTATGTTTATGTCATAGTGTCTGGTTTGGTTTTCCTTCTGGTTACTATAGCATGGGCGCACTTTTGTATTTTTAGTTAGTAAAAAGGCTTGTTTTGACTTGCTGGTTTTGGAGGTCTCAAAGGGGCACTGTTTGGCTTCTACTAAGGCCCTTTTGGTGACTAGCACCATTGATTCACAGTTGACTGATGTTATCAGTCATCATGTAGGTTAGCAAGTCACGTTTTATTATTTTATGATGAGCTTCTTTTTTAATTCAACCTTGAATCCTAAATGTGTGCTCTCTCACATCCTGTGCTTTACAGGGAGTTTGGGGTAAGGGACAGCCTCTGGGGCTCTGAATTTCCTAAGCTCCCAGGATGGATAACTGAAATGCTCTGAACATTTTTTTTTTTAGCTGTGGGACTTTTAGAAAGACTTAGGACATTGATAAAATACTACCTACTAGATATTTTGTTTTGTTTTGTTGGAATAGAATACCTAGCTCAGGCTGGACGAGATAGTTTCCCGAGGTAGCCGAGAATTACCCTGAATTTCATACAGATGAATAGCATGCAAAGCCATGGGTTTTCTTGCGTTTCTGTCATGTCACTGCACCGTTGTTCACACTAGCCCACACTGATGCTGTGAGTGTAAGGCCTCAAAGTCTGCCTGCCTACCACACTTACTGCAGAGTCGCTGTCTAACCCCTTCTTCAGTATACTTTTATTCTATACCTTATGATGCTCTACCTCTCTAGTGGGGGAAAGACTAGGTTGTCTGTAGTTTCCAGACAGGAAGTAAGTCTATCTTGAACTCTGTGCTTCCATACCATGCTTGACTCATTCACTTATCTTCTTGACCATCAACCTTTGTGTTTTGCAGGTGAGCTGCAACATCTGCGAGAGGAGATTTCCCTGTTAGAGCGTGAAAAAAACAGTGAACTTAAAGAAATAGAGCAGGAGTTGCATTTGGCTCAGGCGGAGATCCTGAATCTGCGGCAAGCTGCAGCAGATTCTGCATCTGAGCATGAGAGTGACATCGCATCCTTGCAGGAAGATCTCTGCCGGTTGCAGAATGAACTCGATGACATGGAACGCATTCGAGGGGATTATGAGATGGAGATTGCCTCGCTCCGTGCAGAAGTGGAATTGAAGACATCGGAACCATCTAATTTAAGTGTCTCTGACTTCTCTGGGATACAAGGTATGAGACCTTTTGCCCCATTCACAGAGTTAAACGGAGGAGAGGACATCATAGGTAGGAAGATGGTAGAAGAGAAGTGTGAGATTATGCTTTAGAAACTTCTAGAAGGAAAACTCCCCCATGTTTACTTTGAGACTAGAGAAAAAAAATTACTCAGTCATTACATAACCAGTCCATGGTGGTATAAGAATTGGTGCCATAGAGATGTTCCTTGGAGACTCTTAACAGAGAGCTGTTAGGTCCTCATTGATTTGACTCTGGGAAAATACTCCCTGTGGGAAAAAGGGTCTGGGGTGGACAGAAGGACCTGTCACCTCAGGAAACCCTTCCTGCTGCTGTGGCATCGTGGCTCTTTGCCTGAACCTGTTTAGGCCTCTAGTCCTGAGACCTAGAATGCTAATTCGTAGGTTCATTTAGCCCTCCCCAAAGTAGAAACTTTGGGAGACAACAAATCAGAACACAAGACAGCTGGAGAGGAAGAAAGGTTATTTCTAGTAATGCATGTGGTACTCAAAAGCTCCAAGCCCTGTTTGCAGAAAGTCTCCCAGCTAGTTGCTAGGAGTCATGACATCAGGGGGTTAGCCTTTATTCTAGCCTGGATTTATGATCTGGGTACAATGGAGGCCCTATATTTGGCCAGTCAACAAGGAAATCAAAGAATTGCAAGTGTTTCCAGCTGTATTAAGCTTTTCATGAGCGCCTTTGGATGGGAGAGGGAGGATGCAGCTACAGTGGCCCTCACCTGAGTCAGGATCTCAGCTGATTAACTCTCTCCAAACCTCATTTCCATGTCTGGAATATGGAACCCAACATAGTTAACAAAGTCTTACAGCAGAATGGGACACTAGGACAGAAGAGAAGCCTCAGGAAAGCACAGAGAAACCTAAATGATATGTGGAGTTAATCGTAAGGTGCTGCTGGTTCTTAATCATGACAAGTAGGCAATGGTTAAGATGCCTAATAGCTGAGTAACCTGGCTGAGAATTCTCCCAGAGAACTTTTTACTGTCTTCCTGTGCACTGTCTTCTTTTGTTTTGCAAGTCTGAAACTATTCTAAAATTAAAGTTTTTTTAAAGGGGAGTGGTCTTATGCAGGGCTATCTCAAGGATTAAATGAAGGTCAAAGTCATCAAGTTCAAAGCTTCATGCACAGTTCTCAACAAAGGTCTCCTTCCTTTTCATGGTAATCTTCAGTCTAAGATTAGTCTAAGAACATCCTATTTATTTATTTACTTACTTACTTACTTCAAGCTATTTGTTTATTTAATTAACTCAAGCTATTTATTTATTTGTTTATTGAGACAGAGTCTACACAGCCCTGGCTGTTCTGAAACTTGCTGTGTAGACCAGGCTGGCCTCAAACTCACAGAGATCTCTGCTTCTGCCTCCCAAATGCTGGGATTTAAGGTGTTTGCCACCATGCCTGGACCTGTCTAAGAACTTCTGATTGAAATAAAGGAGGAACATTAGAAGTGATATTCAGGGCCGGGCGGTGGTGGTGCACTCGGGAGGCAGAGGCAGGCGGATCTCTGTGAGTTCGAGACCAGCCTGGTCTACAAGAGCTAGTTCCAGGACAGGCTCCAAAACTAAAAAAAAAAAAGTGCTATTCAGGGATGTTGAATCTTCTGGTAGATAAAATATGTCTTATGTTGTAATCAAGACCAGTTAGTGTATCTTAAATGCCAGTAGAATTAGTGTGCTAAGTGCTGTGATTCTTTTATGTGTCCCGGAATGTGTGATGTGTATGTTAGGGTGGGGAAGCCCTGGCCTCTGCATGCATGGTAGGAGCCAGAGGTTGGTGCTGTGTATCTGTTGGTGCTCACTGAACCTGAAGCTTACATCTTGGCTAGACTGGCTCACTAGTGAGCCCTAGGATATCTCACTGGTCTCCATGCCTCAGTTCTGGGATTGTAGGTACAAGCTCCATTCCAGGCTTTTTATGGGGATATTGGGAATCAGAACTCATGTTTATACAAGCAAGCACTTTCCCCCTTCAGCCATCTCCCCAGCCCCAGTAATATTGTTCTTTTCTTTAAATATTTATTTACTTTTATTTATATGTGTATGTGTCTGTCACATGTTTGGGTAACCGCTGAGTCCAGAAGAGGGCATGGAAGCCTCTGGAGCTAGAGTTATAGGTGGTTATGAGCCAGGCTCATAACGTGGGTGCTGAAAACCGAATTCACTCTTATAGAAAAGCAGCAGCCCTCTTAAAGGCTGAACCTCGCATACAGCTCTGATGGTTCTTACTCATAAGGAGTTATGACTTGGGTATTTCAGCTGCACCTCTTGTCTCTTCTTATGCTTGAAGAAAAGAATCATTTTCGATTGGGATGGGTGTTTCTATTAACAGATGAAGGAAAATGGGTGCAGCTTGATGGCAGCGTGCTTGCTAGCATTGCATGATGAGACCCTAGGCTTTATCCCAATCCCAAGCCCCCTTTGTCTTAGTCAGGGCTTATATTGCTGTGATGAAACACCATGACCACAAAGCAAGTTGGGGAGGAAAAGGTTTATTCAGCTTACACTTCTACATTGCTGTTCACCACTGAAGGAGGTCAGGGCAGGAAACTAGAAACAGGAGCTGATTCGGAGACCATAGAGGGGTGCTGCTTACTGACTTGCTTCCCCTGGCTTGCTCAGCCTGCTTTTTTATAGAACCTAGGACCACCAGCCCAGGGATGGCACCATTCACCGTGGGCTGGGCCTTTTCCCTTGGATCACTAATTGAGAAATGCAGCTGGATCTCATGGAAGCATTTCCTAAACTGAAGCTCCCTCCTCTCTGATGACTCTAGCTTGTGTCAAGTTGACACACAAAACCAGCCAGTACACTGCTACTCCCCACCAAAAACAATCAAAAAACCCAACAACAAGGAGTATTTGGACTGTATCCAGGCCAGTGTCTTCAGCGTGGTGATAAAGGAAATAAAGGATACTCAGAATGAGTGGGTTGTCTCTGAAAGGCAGATCTAGAAGTTCACATCTCTCAGGGCTTGTGCTAAAAGCATCATGGGTGCTATGATTGTGCCTCAGTTGCTGGACTGCTCGACAAGCATTGGTGAAACTGTGTATGATCCCAGGTACCTCATTTAAAAAAAAAAAAAAGCAGGCTTGGTGTAATCCCAGCATTCAGGAGGTAGAGGCAGGAAGATCTGAAGTTTAAGGTTAGAGACTAGCCTATGCTACCTGAGACCCCATCTAAAAGAAAAAAAAAGCAAGATAATGGGTAAGTAATAGTAAATAGTTAACTAGAAACTTAAATACAATAATTTCAATGTACTTAAACCTTCAAGATCTCCCAAGAGCTCCATAGAGTATCTTACTGGGAGCATCAGGATGAGTACATGGGGTCTGTCTTCTGTACTGTTGTTTCCATCCAGGAAAACTTGGGGTTGGTCATCTGTGCTCCCATCACTGAGGATCTTACCTCTCCCTGCTTCTCTTCTGCAGAAGAACTACACCAGCTTCGGGAGCGCTACCACTTCCTGAATGAGGAGTACCAGGCCTTGCAGGAGAGCAACAGCAGCCTCACTGGGCAGCTTGCTGAGCTGGAGAGTGATAGGTATAGCCAGGAGGTCCTCTGCTCCTGGAAAGCAGTCATTCCTATGTTATCCCAAGGGTATGGAGACCTCCCAGGAGCAGGCTCAGAATGCCACCAAACTATATCAGAACTATAGTTAAGTTGAGCTATAAAAATGTAGTTTTCCTCTATTCTTGGCATTGGACTCCAGATAGCTCTGCTTTATATTGGATCAACCGAGATCCCTTTGTTGTCCACACAGATGTGATTCAGTCCTAATGGCATAGAGCAGTGGTTCTCAACCTTCCTAATGCTGCGATCTGTAACACAGTTCCTCATGTTGTGGTGACCCTGACCATAAAAGTCATAACTGTAATTTTGCTACTATTTTTAATTGCAGTGTAAATATATGATATTCAGAATATGTGATATGAGACCCCCAAAGAGATCATGGCCTGCAGGTTGAAAACCACTGGCATCGAGCCTTCAGGTTGTAGGTGGTTTGACATCAGGCCCAGTCTTGAAACCAAGATCCTAGGATGTCCCAAACTCAAAATGCCTATGCAGTGAGGTGCTGGAGGTTCTGTGTAATCTTTTAAACATAATGTATTTGAGAAGTGAAGCACAGTAAAAGGCACTGTAGTAATTTTGTCCTAAAGAGGAAGCACTGGGCCTGAGCACACTTGACTGGTCATACCAGGCAGAGAGCTCTTCCCAACATAACCCTGGGTTCCGGATTACAGGACGCGAAGAGCCACAGAACGATGGTTGGACTCCCACATGCTAAGGAGCGTGATGTCAGCAGAGTCTCAGACTTCAGAACTGGATTTCCCAGAGCCTAACCCTGAGATGCAGCTTCTGCGCCAGCAGCTGCTGGGAGCTGAGGAACAGATGCAGGGCATGCAGACCAAGGTAGGCTGCAGAGGGTGGAGTGGCTGGCTGCGGCTACTCTCTTTCTCACCTTTTCCTGTAGTGAGAGTAGGGCTGACAAAGGAGCCACGGTTATGGCAGGGTTTGGTATCCTGGGCCCTTGCCTGACTGACAGAAATATAGTCATGTGTCATGTGATGGCGTTTTAATCGAACAATGAACCAGACGTATGGTAGTGGTCCCGTGTGATTGTGAGTGCTGAGAAGTTCTAACCCTACTGACGTCGATGTGCAGTGCGTTACTGAACAGCGTGTGTGATGCTGCGTAGACAAGTCTGCTCTGAACTGCAGCAGTGTGAAAGTAGAACACGTACAGTTACACAGTGAACACCTGGATGAGAAACGACTGCTCGTATCTTATGTTCTGCTTGCATTAGGTTTTTATTTTTATTTTAAAAAAGCCTTTCTCCTTAAAAACAAAAACAAAGCCAGGCATGGTAGCACATGCCTTTAATTCCAGCACTAGGGAGGCAGAGGCAGGAGGATCTCTGTGAGTTCAAGGCCAGCCTGGTCTACAGAGTGAGTTTCAGCAGGACAGCCAGGGCTGTTACACAGAGAAACCCTGTCTTGAAAAACCAAAAAAAAAAATGTTCGTTATAAAACAGGATGCCAGGCGGGAGGTGGTGGCACATGCCTTTAATGCCAGCACTTAGGAGAAGAGGCAGGCGGATCTCTGTGAGTTTGAGGCCTATATAGTGAGTTTCAGGATAGCCAGGGCTATACACAGAGAAACCCTGTCTCAAAAAAAAAAAAAAAAAAAACCCAAAGAAACAAAAATTCCAGGATGCCATGTTATGCTGATAGCATCTTCAAATATCTCGTATTTGTTGTATCCATTAATGGCATCATTTTCTTTGTTCATATTCAATCTTGGGGTGTTCATTGGCTCCCTAGGGATAGTAAAGCTTGGTCACCACACACACACACACATGCACACACTATACTATCTATGTTTGTATAACTGCACTCTGTAATGATCACACAATGATTCAATGGCTTAATGACAACTTTCTCAGCATGAGTCTACCTTGTTATGTGACACCTGACTATATTCAAATCTAAAGAATGACCTATTTTCCCTGTCCTTAGTGTGCATGTGCCATCTACCACACATCAGCCCCACTTCCATTTCCCACCTAGTGTAAGGACTTGTGTTGTGAGTTGGAAGAGCTCCAGCATCATCGCCGGGTCAGTGAGGAGGAGCAGAAGCGGCTGCAGAGGGAGCTCAAGTGTGCCCAGAATGAGGTGCTTCGGTTTCAGACCTCCCACAGCGTCGCCCAGGTAAACACTTCTGGGGGAAGGGCAGCAAGGCTCAGAGTCACTGCCTCCAGGGAGGCTGGACATGAGGAGTGAGGCTGAAAACTCTGCTTACTCCTATCCCATGGCCAGAGCCCATCATCACCCAAAGCCCCTGCAGAGAGAAGCCACATAGGATGGCATGTAGAAAGGTGGGCGTTGTTGAGTGTCTTCATCACTGAGGACACCCAGCCGTACATCCAGAGAGCTTCTCAAGAAGCTCAAGAAAAGCATCCCAGGGGCCTGGATAAAGTCCTCTGCTTCTTGAGAGTAACTGCTTTACCCACATCCTCCCTACTGCAGAATGAGGAACTGAAGAGCAGGCTCTGTGCCCTGCAGCAAAAGTATGATGCTAGCCAGGATGAGCACAATGAGCTTCTGAAGGCGCAGTTGCAGCTTCAGACTGAGCTCCGCCAGCTTAAAGTCCTCAGATCCACACCTGTAGAGAGCCAAAGTGAGAAGGTAACAGCACCAAAGGTGAAGGGACAGTGAGGGGTCAAGAGCACTGAACTGAGGCTTTGGGGGAAGGTAGAAACTCCAAAACTGGGGATATGGCTTTTGGTAGACTGTCTGCCTAGCATGCATGAGGTCCTGGGTTCAGTCCCTAGCACTGAACAAAGCACAGGCAGACAACATTGTTTAAGCCTAGCGTGGTGGAGCACATCTGTAATGACAGAACCGAGGAGGTAGGAGCAGAAAATTCAGGAGTTACATGCGATTGGGTTTACATTTATTTATAAACAAACACACAAGCCAAAAAGATAACTATCTCCTTCAAGTGCTGCATAGGTGGGAGGACAAGTGGCAGGTGAGAAGAGGAGAGAGATTCTAAGGTGGTCGGTGGCTTAGTTAGGACAAGAGCAAACTCACAAAACCCAGCACCACTACCCAAAGCCCCCTGCATGCAGGAGTTAAGGTGCCAGCTCCAGAAGCTGCAGGTCCAGCACCAGAGCAATGTGTGTGAGAAGGAAAAGCTGCTGGAAGCGCAGCATCACCTGCAGGACAAGCTGAGGTGCCATGAGACAGAGCTGCATCATCTCCGAGGCGTGGTGGACTGCTTGCGAGAGAAAAATGATAAGGTAAAAGGAGGACTAGGCCAGGAGCACATACCAGACCAGATCTTCTGTGAGGGCGACAACAGAGTGGGCCTGGTAGAAGTTCTGTGGAGGAATTGTTAGTGAGGTGGACTAGAGCCATGAGATACCCACAGCCTCCTTTTATTTTAAACCAGAAGATCAGGCTGCAGAAAGGAATCCCATTGCTTCTTTCCTGATGCAATCTCTCAAGCCTGTTAGGGATAGGTCTGTTTGGTTCTCACTGATTCTCTCTAGTTGGATGAAGTCAGGCTTGGGAATGTCAGGGGCGGACAGATCCAGAGTGAGGTGGTAGATGTTCATAGGATGATGGCTGACCTCCCCTACCCAGAATACAGGGATGCAAGCCCAGCTTCAGGAGATGAAGGGACTGTATCAGTGCAGCCAAGATGAGCTGGATCGGCAGAAGCACATGTATGACCAGCTGGAGCAGGAATTCCTGCTCTGCCAGCAGGAGCTGTCAGAACTCAAGACCAGCCAGCCTGTTTATGATGACGAGGGAAACTGTTCCAACAAGGTAATTGTCGTTCAGAGTGCTGAGTGCATCTGGGAGTGTCTTCCTACCAGCTTGGGAGAAAGGAGTTCAAAGACAAAGGGTTGAGGTTACCCAGCTAAAGGCAGAAGACAAAGGCAGTCTTGAACTTGAGAAAGAGCCATAGCTTAGTACATCAGTGCATCTGATCTCAGTCAGTGTGAACATCCGTTTTCCTATAACCCCATGTATATAAACATTTCTGTATTGGTATTATAACTGTATTGATGTCCTGTCGTTTATAGGGAAGAGCATGCACGTAGACCCATATGCCTATGTAAACTAAAAAGAGTAGGGCCAGAGTCTGAAGCAGGATGTAGGTGATGGTCTTAGGGTCTGGTCTGCACCCAGAGTGCTGATTGTTAGAGGAACCATGCTCTTTTAGGATGTATGTAGTTGGTCTTAGAGTAAACTCTCAAATCATGAATTTTGCTTTCTTCAAATTAAACTTTTTTGTGGAGAGAAGGGTTGGCACAGAGTCTCACTGTGTAGACTGGCTCACCCGTGAACTGGTGGCTGTTCTCTTGCTTGCTCTTCAGCTGCTCAGGTTCCAAGCATGAACCACCATACCTGACTTGTAACAGAACAATATTTTTGTCTCACTTTCTTTAAGAAATAAATTCTGGCCAGGTAGTGGTGGTGCACTCCTTTAAACCCAGCAATTGGGAGGCAGAGACAGGCTGATCTCTGTGAGTTGGAGGCCAGTTTGGTCTACAGAGTGAGTTCCGGGACAGCCAGGGCTACACAGAGAAACCCTGTCTCGAACACCTCCCACCCCCTAAAAAAGGAAGTGGGAGATCTGGTAGTGTACAAATCATTGAGCTTTTATGTGATTTTAAAATACCTGGTTTTGAGAATCATAGGATAATGTAGTCTTAACCGAATTCAGCAATAGCTCATATCTTCTCTAAGGGTTTTACAGCGCGATTAAGACGGGGGATGCAGCTCACCAACGGGTAGAGCACTGCCTTAGCATTCAGTTTCCAGTGGGGGTGGGGGAAAATAGGTCAAAATTAAGTTCTTGTTGATGAGGAAAATAAAAACAATCAGCAGAGTGGCTTGAGCTGGAATTCCCTATAGTGTGGGATGTGGAGACAGTGTCACAGGAAAGGGCCAGAGAACAGAGAAGGACACTGAGATCACTGCTTCTCAAATCACCTCTGAGGGCAGATGAAACTTGAGACCATAGCTATTGAGAGTGCACAGCAGACTGCTCCAAACTACACAGTGGGGTTTCCCCTTAGCATAGAGGTCTGGTCCGCTCAGGGTGATCAGTCCAAAGTGACTGACCAGGGAAGAGAGAGGACCTAGTACGTCACAGGGGGCTGGGAGCATGCAAGTGCTCTGCCAGCCCCCAAAATACGCCTTACATGGTAACCCTGCCCTGCCCCCTCCCCACCATAGTGTGATGCACTGCTGTCCAGACTGACAGAATTGCAGGACAAGTTCAAAGCCTGCCAGCAGGAGATGGGGCGCCTGCAGATGGAGCAGTGTGAACTCCTGGAGGATCAGAGGAGACTGCAGGAGGAGCAGGGCCAGCTGCAGGAAGAGTTGCACAGGCTCACATTCCCACAACCCAAAAGTGGCCTCTTGCAGAAGGTACTCAGTGCCAGGGTGAGACCACTGATCAGGGGAGGCTGCTTGAAGAAGCGTCCAGGTGCAACTGCCCGTGGGGGGGACGTGAGCGTTTTCCTTTCTTGGCCAAGCATTTCTTCCTTTCTCTTCATCCTCCCCACAGAGCTGATTTGGGTGTTTCTGCATAAGGGCTTTAAACCTTAAAATGTGTTTTATATTCTGAAATCTGCGCAACATTGTATATTTAGCTGTTTGGTCCATCTGGAGGATGCACCTGAGAATCACTCTGTAGACTGGAAAATCTATCCACACATATGAATCTTTCTACTCCGTTAGCAGAGCTCCGTAGAAAGAACCCCTTTGCCCGAAAGACTGGGTGAATCAATAAGAAATGGAGCCCAACAGGAATGGGGCCTAAGTGGGGTGCTTCCCCTTAGTCATCACTTTTCCTTCCTCACCCTACTCAGAGTCAGGAGCTGCTCTCAAAGTTACAAGACCTGTGTGAGATGCAGCTGCTCTACCAAAGCATGCAGGACGAACAGAGAAAACTGATAAAGAATCAAGAGAGTGTGTTAAAGGAACAGTTAGAAGCACACAGAGAACTTCGAGGTTTCAAAGAGTCTAATTTCCAGGAAGTGTTGGCGAACCCTCAGGATGCCAAAGGGCCTAAATCCTCCAGTTGTGAGAATAAGGTAACCGCAGCAGAAGGAAGGGAGAAGGTTCTCGTGGGTACCGCTGTGTGGCGAGGGAGGAGTGGGGCTCTGGAAGAGTTGACTCAGGAAGGCCCAGGGGGATAGGAAGTAGGCTGAGCCTAAAGCCCTGCCCTTCACTAGTCAGGGTCCTCCGCAGGCTCCAGTAAGTAGTTGTTTTACTTGGATGCCCTAAGGATCTCCGGCAGAGGCACACACTCTGGTTTAATGTTTGGAATTATAGGATGTTTCAGCTTGAAGAGCTGAAGTGTAATCAGCATCTAGAACAGAGTTAAGAAGCCCAGAAGTCTGTCTGACCACTGGATTCAGTCCTATCAACAAGGCATTTTCAAGATGCATGGGATCAATTCAGTGTTTGTTTTGGTTCCTTTGGACTGGTCCTAAATGTATTGCCTTTTTTTGTATGACCTGGAAAGTCTACTCCATTTTCTGAGTGTTTAACGTTTTGAGGCTCCACAAACAAATTGGGGCCCAGTCATTTCCAAGAAAGCAGTTCAACAGACAGGTTTATGGTACTGACCATACTATCCAAGCCAGGTCACAGGGACTTAACAGAAAACCAGTGTTTCTCAAGCACTACCAGCTGGTCATGCCTATGAGGAAAAATAGGTAGAAATCTCCATACAAGTCTGTTCTGAGTTGGGGAATAAATTTGGTCTGACGTAGACAGAGCAGGTGGACAGTTTCAGTTGAGGCTGCATGAACGAGGAGAACCAGAAAGTAGCAGAAATTCAAACTGGGGACACAGGGACAGGGGCAGGGAGGTTGATCATTCCAGGGGTGTCAGATATCCAGGCTGGAAAGCCTGGGTAACATAGAGACTGGAAAACCAGATATAAACTGTTGGCTTAATCAATTGTATCTAATGCTGAATATCACCTGGGCGTGGAATACATACCTCAAGGCCAGATATAGAATCTGGGCAGAAGGTGCAAGGACTAGTGGGTAGCTAGACCTTGATTCCAAGCCTGCATCTTCCAAGGAAAGAATTCATATTCACACATTCGCAGCTGGGCTGATTTGACCACAAAGGGTAAGGGAGATAACTGAGCCTAAAGATCAGGTGCGTGGGTCCACTTGATTTAAAAAGATGGTGTGGTAGGGAGCCAGGGTGTGCTTGAGACTCACCTATGCCGCCAGAGTACAAACCCAACAGCAACAGGAGCCCTAAAATCACTGAGGTGTGTGCCTGTGCTTCTCTCGGGTGAGCACTCACATCTGCTCTGGGAGAGGGGCAGCTAAAGACTGAAATGTCTCAGAGTAATGGGGATGTCTCCTGCTCCCCCACCTCTCCCTTAGTCCAAGGTGCTTATGGACCAGCTGCAGGCTCTGCAGGCACTATACGACAGCAGTCAGAAGCAGCAGGAGGTCCTGCAGCAGGAGCATGGGCGGCTCCTGGAAGAGCGGAGGAGGCTGCAGGCTGAGCTACAGCTCTGCATGGAAGAAATGCAGCTGCTCCAAACTCAGTCCCCCACCATAAAAATGAGCCTTGAGTCCTACAGGAAGAACCTAGGCAGCATGCCCCCCAGCAGTGAAAGCTTCCACAGGAGTTACGACAGCCCCATCGAGGACAGTGAATGCTATCAGAAGAGTTACGTAAGCTCGCAGGCCAGCAATGAATGCTTCCTCAAGAGCTACGACAGCAGTGCCAGCTGCAATGAGGCCTACCAGAAGAGCTACCGCTCCAGCAACACGAGTGTTGCCTATAAGAAGAGCTACGGCAGTGCCGCTAGCTCCGAAACCCTTTACAAGAGTTACGTTAGCGGTGGCACTGACGAGGACCCAGCTGAGCCTGAAGACATAGAGGTAACCATTGCTAGATGACTGGTCAGTCAGGGGAAGATGGGTTTCTGTCTTTGAGGGAAACATTACCAGGGGAGGAAGGGCATAAGGAGTAAAAGAGTAGCAGGGTCAGAGCTGGCCTGGAAGACTTCCTGAAGTATGTAAGGCTTCTGCTCATTGCTGTCCTGCTTCCCTCAGCCCTGACAGAGGTGGCCTGATTCGGACAGAGACCCTAGGGTTAAGGACTTCGAACATAGCCAGGATGTTCTTTCTGGGAGGAAATACAGCCTTGCCTAGGCAGCTCCAGGGAAGGGCCTAGCAAAGTGTAAGGCAGAGATCAAATGCTTCTTGGGGTGCCGTCATTGCTCCCCCACTCTCTGCAGCACTTTGAGGAAACAGTGGCCAAGGTGTTGACCAAGTTGCAGGCAGTGAAGGCCCTGTACCAGGTGAGCCAGGAGGACCACTGCCAGCTGCAGGAGCAGATGAGCAAGCTGCTGGTGAAACAGAGAGAGCTGAAGGACGAGCTGGAGATCTGTGAGAAGGAGTTGAAGGAGTGCATGGAGAGCCTTGAGAGGCCCACAGCTCCCCAGTGCGACAAGAGTGAGGTACCAGTGCCAGTAGCAGAGTTCCCCCAGGAAGTCCCTAGAGACCAAGGTGGGGAGGGGAGTGCCGGGAAGCCAGATCCCAGGAGACCGAGCAGTCTGCTGCATCTGATGGACAGTGCTCACTGCAGTTCCATACTGGCCAGCTAGTCTACTTTTCCTCCCTCTGCTGCTTCTGTTCTCTCTCTCTCTGTACCCCAGAGCACTTGTATGGAGCTATATTTTTTTTACTTGCCAATATTCTTTGATTATTTTTAGCTCATTGTGTTTATTTATTTATTTTTTATTTTTATTTTCCAACTAGGTTATATACATTCAAGGACAGGACTCTGACCCACCATGGCTCACTGTCCAATGAGAGGGCCCTGCGTGTGTGCCTGGGGTAGATGGAGCAGACCCAGAAAGTGATGGCCACGTGAGCCTAGTCTGATTGGTTCTTACTGAACAGACCACATGTTGCCATCAGCTCAGGAAGGCAAAACCTGAGACGAGGGAACAGGGTTATAAGTGTGTATTACTAGAAGGGAGGTGCAGGTGCCCAGGACACTGCCAGGTATATGCAGTAATTCCCCAAGTAATTATCTACTAGAGAAATGAACTAGGTGATGTAGGAGTTCTTGGAAAAAGAATGAGATAATAATAAATGCCTGAGGCTCAGAAGTGGTGTCAGTCCTGTAGTTATTCCCCGGACAGGTCATGATCAAAAACATAGTGATAGTATTTATTGATTTAATATTAATTTTTGTCATCCTAGATGTAGACCTTCTAGTACCTTGACTTGGGGGAAGCTGTCTGTCTGTGAAACTGCTCAGATCTCATTGTCTAATTGAATTTCTTATTGTCCACTTCCTTGTGAGCTTTAGGAGGGAGAGTTGCAAGGCAATGATCCCCTTAAGGACCTGGGCTGACTGGGTGGGAATGCTGTGGATAACTGGAATCCCACCACCAACAGATCAAAGAACTGCAGACTAAGCTGCGGGAGCTGCAGCTGCAATACCAGGCTAGCATGGATGAGCAGGGGCGGCTTCTGGCAGTGCAGGAACAGCTGGAGGGGCAGCTGCAGTGCTGTCAGGAAGAACTCCGCCAGCTCAAAGAGAGCAGGTCCTCTATTGGCTCCGAGGCCAGGGGGAAGAATGGCAATAAGAACATGAACAAGAATGCCAATGGCGTGAAAAACAAGAAGCTGAGCAAGGCATGCTCAGAGAGCTCGGATGGCAGCTCTGACAACAGAAAGGTGAGTTGCAGCCTTAGTAGCCAAAGAGGCAGGTGGATGGAGGAGACCCCGGGAAGAAACATCATCCCAACTAACAGTTCCTGCCAAGAAAGGTACTTTGAGGAAGGCTTTTGGTACCACTGATGTCTGCAGGAGTTCTGTCTGTATAATTCTACATTTGGTCACTTCTCTGGGTGCTATGGGGAGAATGCACAACCGCTTTCACTGACCTAAGGCCATCACATGATCAAGAGAAAGACCAACTAGATAGAGAGAAAGGGATTTATTCAAGAGGACTGGGTGTGATAAACATTACCAGGAAGGGTAGGAAGCAACAGTTAAGGAGCAGAGCCCAAGAATTTTGAATTATCATTAATTGCTTAAAATGGCTTAATGGTCAAACAAGAAGTGCTGGCTTAACATACTAAATGTGACTGCCCTCCACAACACTCTTGGAAAGATTAGCTAGGAGTCCCAAAATACAGTCCTGCACACTGGAAGTCTGACATGGTACAAGCATAGCTTTCTGTCTTGAGGGTAAGATTCTTTATGGGTAACAGCAGCCCCGCCCCGCCCTGCCTCCACCCCGCAGAGTCTGGAGGTGGTGCTGTACTACAAGGCCAGCCAGAGGAAATTAGATGAGATAGCCAAAGAGGAAAAAGAGATGGAAGAGGCAAAAAGGAAAGAAAAGCAAGACAAGAAAGACTTGTGTGAACTAGCTAATAAGCCACCAGACCATAGGGAAGAGCCTGCATTCGTAAAAGAGGAGGACGGGGACTATGAAGAGTACCACCGAGAAGGGGAGGATAAGGAAGACAATGAAGAGGAGGAGGAGTCTTCTGAGGATGCTGAGGAAGGCAACCCTCTTACGCTTTCTGAGAGCAGAAAGGTAACCACAGCCAAGGCTGGATCGAGTGGGGATGAGCTGGGGCTCAGGTGCCCTGGTTTTCAGGACTGGCCCTGCCAGGGGTACACTTCTACAAGAGTGGAGGCCAGACTGTGTGGTGGGCCTGGGTATGAGAATGGGAAGGGGCTGGCGAAGGAAAATGACAGGTGTAGACAAGTTCCATTGCACAATGACTGCCTTTTCTTGGAACCAAGGTCACTTACGCTATGTGTAGCTCTCGGTCACCTCCCTCTGTCAACAGTGTCCCCTCATTCCGCTCCCTGACACAGAGGACCTTGATGATGTAAGCCCTTCTTCATTTCTGCTAGGCTCAGCAAATCACTTCATCCTCTTTTTCCCATGATACCCTGTGAGAGCCAACCCTTGTTAGTGCTGTAGCTTGTGGGCCTGTATCACCCACTAGGTTCTGCATGTCATAGAATGTGAGAGTTGGGCCTCTGGAGTGTACGGGTGATGCTCCAAGTCAGTCTGCACAGCAGGCACACTGACCAGTCTGCTACCAGTCACTGCTCTCAGCCTTTAGTTCCTGGGCCTTTGAGAGAGAGAGAGTGTGTGTGTGTGGGGGGGGTTCTTGAGGTATATGCAGATAACAGAGGTAACTTAGCTGCTTAGAGAAGTGTTTTCATCTTTTAGCAACTGACACATTTCCATTGGTATGTATCAGCCCAGTTTACAGTACAGAAAAATGTCTCTTGTGATAGGTTATCCCACTCACTTTATAGATATCTGGAATTTTCCAGCAGTTCGGTTTACATTACTGGTTCATGATCCAGTATACAGTTCCCTGTTAACTGTGAGGTGAAGGACTTGTTACTTAGGATGTAAACAGGAGTAACTATAGCCCTTCCCCAGGCCAATGTTTCTTTTGAACTTATATTCTACCACAGACTGGTTCAGAGCTCATAGACTTGACCTCAAGGACCACTTTTCTAAATCGAAGCTTGACTTCTGTACTTCAAAGTCAAAAGCATTGTTGATGTCTATATATGTAGATGCCCTTTTGTCTCAGTGGATCCTGAATGTTTTGCAGACAGCTCAACTGGCATTCATATTATTACATACAAATTCAGTTTCTCTCTAACCTCTATTGTTAGATTGATGTAGTACATTTTGTCTCACAAAGCATTGGATTCCTAGGGGATTTTGGGAATTAGAGCTCTGCATACTTCTAAAACTGAAGGAAAGGAAAGCTGGTAGGTGGCTGGCTCTTCTTGGAGTGATCGAGCAAAAAGTATCTACCTGATTCCTGTAAGGAAGCCCACTGTCCTCTCTGAAGCTCCACTTTTCCAGAGTGTCTGACTCAAGAAGAAAGATTAGGTGCCGGTAATTTCTGCTTGAGAAGACATGCGCTGTACATGACTAGAGAGGACACTGCTCCAGGTACCTAATTTGGACCTGTCTGCTGCTTAACTCAGTTTTGCAACTGTTGCAGGCTTCCTGTATGAGGAACTCCTCTGCTCTTCTCAAGGCTCTGGGAGCAGAGAAGAAATGCCATTGCTCCAGCTTATGTGGTTTTTAACCTTTGATTCTTTTCTCTTTTCCCTTTGTTCTCTCATCTTCATTATCTGTTGGATCTGTGTGTTTGTGTCTTTTCATACAACCACGCGTCCCCCGGTCTCTCCTGTGCTTCTCATTTGACATGTTGCAGCCATCCCCTGCCCCAGATCCCCCCATATTCTCCTTGCCTCTTGTAGGCCTGGTGGTCATATCAGCTCTGCTCTGGTGCTGGTGGGCTGAGACAGCGTCCTAACCCAGGTACTGGTATGGCTTCCTCTTCCCCTCAGCTTCTTACTCCTCCCATGACACAATAGGCGATGCTCAGGTCTGAGGTGTAGCCCTGGCTTTTTCTGATTTTGGTGCAAAACATACAAGCCTTCTTGAGCATGTCATGATGTACGTAGTGCACAGGTAGTTGGGATGCTTACCAGAGGCACAGTTTGAGTTTCTGTCCTTGGCACATCTCTGTTGCTATAGAAAAAAAGCTACCAAGCTACTTCTGATGAGCTGATGTTTGCCTGCAAGGCAGGCCTGAGCTTTGTCTTTGTTTAAACCCCAGAGACAAGCTTTTGCCAATGTTCCCACCCAGAAGAAATTACTCCCTGTGCTTACGGGTAAGAGGGGATCCAAAGAGCTGTGATCTTTCTGATCCTCTCAGGAACACTTGGATGACAGCACCCTCAGCTGGTCCTTCCACCGTGGTAGAAGTAGAACTGAATCCCTGCCGTAGTATGTATTCCCACCTTAAAAGGTCTCTAGCTTGGAATTTCTGCTTACCAGAAAAACGACAACAAAATCCCAGGAAATTATGTACAGTTGTGTTCATTCTTTTGGTGGATCAGATTCCATTATAAGTGGCTTCTCAAGCCAGGCTTCTGGAGAGGCTGTGATGTTGGTGGAAAGTTCCTAATGAGTAGAGATGCAGATATTCTCAGGAATCAAGACAGATGTGGTCTGGGCACCTCTCCATTGGCCTAGCTCATGTCATCTGGTCTGTTGACAGAATTTCCAGTTTAGGATGAAGATTGTTTGATGGTCTAAGGTAGGAACCTGTGGTTCCACCTGCCTCCTGGAACCTGTAAGTTCTATTCTGACTTCCTTGTCAGACTCAGCTACTTCTCTCTCTCCTCTACCTCTTTAAATAAATACAGCTGGCTTAATGCAAAGTTCCAGAGTGACAGCTTTCGTTGGTGACAACCCTCACCATTTCCATATATATGTATAACATTTATTTGGGGAGCTTCTGTGTGAAGGTCAGATGACAACTTTCAGAGTCTTGTGGTTTTTCTTCTGCCCTGTCTGAACCAGTGATGGAACTCTGTCATCAGCATAGCAACAAGGGACTTTACCTATTGAACCAACTTGCCTCCCCTCCTGGTTTCTTTAATCCTCCCTCTTTAATCTTCTCGCCATCCCCCTGCCTCCAGCCTTTCTCTTTTCTTTCTTTTAGGCTGTTCAGTTACTTCCCATGACAGTCTTTAGTTCCTTTCATGTGACGGGGATCTCTCCTTACACCTGTTCCTCCACGCATACTTCCAGAAGTCTCTGAAGTCCCTGTGGAATGAGACAAGGGATTCAGCCACAGCCTTTTGCCAGGCTTCACCATGCGCCATCAGAGTGCAGGGAAGGCACTGTGGTTAAGGGTTCTCTTGGGAGCCATTTGTGCCCTGAGCTCTGGCCAAATCCCCAGTGTACAGCTTCTCCCCAGATCTCGAGGCACCATTGGGTAGAAGTCAGTGACAAGCGACAGGAGCTTGACCGAGTCTACTTCCTCCTGTTAGCTTTGTTCCAGGGTTCCATTTCTTCAAATTGAACAAAGAATGATTCTGCCCCGCCCTTCCCATAGTTCCTGTAAAGCGCCGTATTGCCTGTCAGAAAGATGGCTTGGAGGCAGGAGTGCTTGCCTAAGTTCTGCCCCGGGATCCACTTGGTGGAAAAAGAGAGCCTACTTCTACAAGTTGTCCTCTGACCTCCATGTGCGCAGTCTGCCCCAAAAATAAATAATATTTTTAAAAGCTACAAAATAGATCAAATTCAGTTTTTAAAATCATAGGAATAACAAAAAGAGCATGCACTTATGTACTGTGTGCTGCGTGCCAGGCTCGTCTCTAGTCACAGTACATATATGGACTAATTTAATCCCTACAGCAGTCCTCTGAGGAAGCGCATACTGTGTCATTTTACAGATGATAAAACTAGTGTAGACAGGCGAATCCAACCAGGAATTGTGGATATGAACGTAAGGAATTGATATTAATAAATACCTGCAGTCCTATCCCCTCAGTTAGAGAGGCAGGAAGATAGGACTTTGGACCAGCCTGGGCTACATAGTAAGGACCCTGTCTCACAAAAACACAAAACCAAATCCTCTTTCTGTTTCCCATCCCTCTCATTGCTCCCTCCCTTACTCTCCCACCCCATTCTGCTTTGTGATTTTTTTTTTCAACAGGGTCTCTTGTAGCCCATACTGGCCTCAAATTATTTGTAGGGGGAGAATGACCTTAAACTCGGATCCTCCTGCCACCCCCTCTGGATTACTGGGATTATATGTGTGCGCCACCACACTGAGTTTTAGGGGTGCTGGGGACCAAGTCCAGGGCTTCATACATGCTAGGCAAGTGTTCTGCCAATTGAGCTACACCCCCAGCCCTTATCCTCATCTCTTCTCACTCTGAGCACCTCTCGCTGGCTGGCCCCAGGTATACAACAGATTGTACTGGTATCCTGTTCTGCTTATGCAGCCTTCACCCTCACTAGCTCTCCTGGTAACTGATATTAATTTATTTGTCTTGTTTCTAAAACTCTGTTGTATATTGTGCACACTAAGTATCCTCTCTGCATTCTATGTTAACACTGATTGTTTAGAGTTCAGAGGCCAAACTTTCCATTCTTCTCTATTAGCCACAGTTCATTACTGTAACCTAGGAATTTTTGTCGGGTTTGTTTGTTTACCTTGACCCCGTGTTCTCACAACAGTCCTAGCTTCATCCTCAGGGGTGTCAAGGCCACTGCCTTTGTGTTCAGCCACACTGCATGGACGGACCCAGGCTTAGGAACTTGTCTGGCCAAGCTCTCTTTATTCAGCAGTCTGGTCACTTAAGAATTGACCATGCAACACAGTGCACTGTTATCCTATTTGTCTGCCTGCCTGTTGTCCACAAGGACTTCAAGGAAATCTTGTCAGACACTTTGCTTAAGTCCAAATATGATTTCGTCAATCTGTCAGTTTGTGACACTCCCAGAGGCCTGTGATTTCTAGAAGGCCCCGAAGCTCTTTGGGACTCCCAGCTCAACCCAGCGTTGTCTGTATGCACACGAATATCAGGCCACCCACTAGATCCCTTAACAGTGGCTGCATCATCTCCAACAGCAGCAAAAATGGCTAACCCTCCCCCACAGCCATCAGCTATCTAGCTCAGCTAGAGGTGGCATCTGGAGGACGGCATCTCATGTGGCCCAAACGAGTCTCAAACTGGCCATGCAGCTAAGCGCTGGGATTATGTGTGCTACCACAGCTGGAGTAAACATTTTTTTTTTTCTAGATCGTCCAGTTGTCTTGAGAGGGCCTGACAGACCAGGCAATAGCATTTGTATATCCTCCTGGTTCTGCTCCAAGTTTCTTTTATGGATTTTTCTATGCATCGACTTCCAACATTAAGTTTTTCATTTCACATATTCTGTTCTTAGTAACTATTCCTACAAATTTGAGAGATTATCTTTGCTCTTTGTAATTAGCTTAAATTTTTCTTTAGATCAGTTATTCTCTAAACAAATATGTTGTTAGCTTTAATGGGCTGTACTCCATTTTTTCTTCAAGCCATCTTTCTTTCCCCTTATGCCATAACTTCTGATCCAAAATCCAAATTCTATCCCTTAAGCGATACAGTAAAAAGAGAAGTAAACATAGGAACATTTTCTCCTATTTTCATGTCCAAGAAGACTCCTGTTTCCTGAACATTTTCTTATGGTGCCATTTGCTACCCATGAATCCTCAGGGTTTACAGCAGTTGGAGTGTTTAGAGGCCTTAGCACCCTCTGAGTGCATGCTGCCTAGTGACTGGATGTGGGGAGCTGGGGTGACGGCTGGACTGGCTCTTGACACTTGCCTCCCAGGACCAGCAGCAGGTTCCCCTGAATTTCCTAGGAATAACACCATCTGACACAAAATCTCTGCTGCCAGTGAATTCCCTACTTACTTCATCCTACAGTGCATTTTGGTCACCTCCATGTCCCCGCCCCTCTTCCTCTTAACTCAGATCTCATGAGATGTGCCTGCCTTCTCCACAGGCGGGACTACCCCACTTCTCCCTCATGCACACAAATTCTCATCCACGGGGACAGATCAAGCACAGATTCAGGAGTGACCTAAGTGGTACAAACAGTATCACTACAAACCTAGTGATGTCACAGTCTCCATGGTTACCCAGGAAGTGAGAGAGGCTGAGCTATAATGTCCCTGAGGTGCGCCCTGGAGCAGGCAGTGATTTCTGGCTTAAGGACAGGTTCAGGAGGCTGGGAGCTCACTCTTTCTCTTTGGTCCCCACAGAACATGTTTGGGATGTGGAAGCCTGTGGTATTCTTGGCTATCGCAGCAGTGGCTCTGTATGTGTTACCCAACATGCGACCGCAAAGTACAGAATACTGCTACATGAAGTGATGGAGACCTGGGCCAGACCAGAGGGCATCCGAGTGTCTTGTTTGCTGCCTTGTTAGGCTCTTGACTAATTAAACTATCTCCAAAAATGAGTCCCTTAAGTCCCCCAGCGGCTACCACCCTCACCTTCGGGCAGAACACACTGTGCCAGAGCCCCCACCCACCCATGTGTCCCATCTCCTTTGCCTCAGCCACTCAGACTAGAAAGGCTTATGGGAGTTACTGGCTCCCAACCTCCTGCCTTGTGTAAGAACCTAGGTTCCTTGTAATTAAATGTCAACCTAATTACATGAGACATTGTGTGGCTTTTTTTTTTCATTAAATGTTTCACATAGCACTGAAGAGAGCAATTACCTTTCAGCCAAGTATTCCCACCTAAGAGTCTGCCTTTTAAATACAAATTTTCAGAAATGAGGTTGGCGCTCTCTGCCTACCAGCTGAATCACAGAGAGATTGAGTTGTACCTATTTGACCCTATCTCAAGGAACTCTTAAAAACACAGAGAACTGGAGCAAACTGGGTACCCTGTGTATGGGACAGGGCAATGAACAAACAAAAGACTTCTTCGTTTCTGCGCCCTAAGATCTTCATGGAAGCCTTTGTGGTTTAGCCTTCTGACTTAAGGGACTCAATTTTGGAGATAGTTTAATTAGTAAAGAGCCTAACAAGGCAGCAAACAAGACACTCGGATGCTTGGACTTAAGAGAATTTCATGAAGCAATTATGTATGGAAGACGGGAGAACTAAGGAACTCAGGTCCTAACAACAGTGAAAAGTTGTTACCACCCTAGGCTGGAGTAGGAAGAAGGGATTTAGCCTTCAGGTCACAGGGCGTGAACTCGAATCAGAACCCACAGAAGAACATTTGCCGACTTGTTCCCTGGCTCACTTTGCTAGCGTTCTTATGCAGCCCAGGACCAACTACCCAAGCATTGTGCCACCCAAAATGGGATGGACCCTCACACATCAACCATCAGTCAAGACAGTGTGCCACCCAAAATGGGATGGACCCTCACACATCAACCATCAGTCAAGATAGTCCCCGACATACATGGTCATAGGCCACCCTGATCCTAGCAATCCTCTCTCAGTTGAGACTCACTCAGATAACTTTAGGCTATGTCAAGTTGACAGCTGAAGCCAGCCAAGATCCCGAGCAAGTCTGATGTCCTGAGGTCAATTCTCTGAACCCACAATGGAATGAAAACCGATTGCTGAAAGTTGTCCTCTGACTTCCAGACGTGCATCGTGGTGTGCATTCTTTACTCAGCTGACGCACGAATGATACTCAGCTGGAGCCCTGAGAAGGGACCCTGACAGGAGTGCTGTACCAGACCTATGATGATGAGGGAAGTTTTGTACCCTTTCCTCCTCCCAGCAGCTTGTGTCTCAGTGGCGTCTCATTGGCGAACCTGAGAGTAGGCATTCCAACATGATGTAGTCTTTCAAGATCAGCCTCCCCGAGCTTAATGCTGGGCAGCATTGAGAATGCGTCTGACAGGAGAGCGCAGCATAGCTGCAACAATCTATGCAGCCCTCGACTTACTTTCACTCCTGTGAAGTCCTCCATGTAAGACTGGTTGTTCCATATGCAAGACCCCCAGCTGTTTCCTTAAGCCACGTGAGCAGAATGGCTTTTATGACCTCGAAACCCCTCTTTCTGCCTCTGTTGGGTAACAAACTTTCTTTGGGGAGTCGCAACACACACATCTGCCCATAACCAATAGGGACCGCCTGGCAGACCTGAATACAATGCCACCAAAGTCAAATTTGGTGAACCAACGAGTTTAACTGGAGTCACTCCCAGGAGTATGGGTGAAGGGTTACTTACAGGAGCAGAAGTGACTCAAAGACGGCTGCATCACCAGCGCCTACACCAGCACGGGTGACAGTTCACAGCGCTGGGAATCTGCAGCAGCGCAGCACAGCCAGCGGGCTTGGAGTCTTCCCAGGTGTCTCAGTGGTCCACACCTCTTCCAGGTAGCTCAGCTTGTCTGTCTTCTTGGAAGCTCCACTCCTTTGAGAGTCTTCTTTGTGGCTGGTCTTTATTTTATTCTATATGTGGGCCACATATCCGCAACAGTAGATGGAAGCTCAGAGACACGCAGGACCACCAGCAACATTTGGAGTTAGAAG